TGATTCTATGACTCTATGATTCTATAGTATAATTTTTCTAAGATATGTGATTTTTCTAGGCAATGGAAAGGTAGAATACCTGATTTATATGGACTTAGTAAACAACTGGCTTAGTAGGAATAAAATAAATAAAAAAATTGTGTGGTGATGAAGGAACTGACTAAAGGGAAGATGATCATGGTTGTGCCAGAAAAGTATCTGTCAAACCTTTAATAATAGGGAGGTACCAATGGAATTCCTCAAAGATTAGTTTTACGACTAGTCTTGCTGAACATTTTCATGGCAAAAATTGGGGGATATTGTTGCTTTCTATAAAACATCTGGAGGAGAGAAAACACTAGACCTAAAGAAATATCGTTTAAACCAGAAGACAATATAACCAGACAAACAGATGTGTGCATGCTGGTCATGAACAAACATAAGGAGGGCATTAAGAAATAGTTTTGATCATCACAGGCATCATCAGTTGGGGCAGAGAAGACAAAAATCCTAACTATAACTTAGCAATAATTTATTTACAGGACCCCTGCAATATCTAAACTTGATCCACAAAATCTTTTCATAAGAAATTGTTGTAAAGCTTTATTATTCACCTAGAATATGAAAGATTCAGAAGAACAATTTCTTTCTTCAAATGAGTTTTTGAGTTTCCTACCTAAACCTCACTGGAAACTTTTGTATGAGCAATAAGGCTTCTACTGGCAGCTGGATATTTGTAGTGTTACTGCTAAGGACCTTAGTGGTGGCAGGCTCCACTATCTTAAAGCTCCTTTTCTTATAAATGAGGAGTACTCCTGTAGTCAATCATGTTCTTTGGATGAATAGTACTTGTTCAGTTTAATTACAATGTGTATTGTTGGGAGCTGAGCCATGACTTATTTATTTTTATCTTACTAAAATCCATCCTGTGCATCCATCCTGTGTCAAGCCTTGGAGTTAGGGAAAGGCTTTTCATAAGATGACATTTCACAGCTACAAGAAACTGCTTCCACCTAACTTTATATAGCCCTTAGTAAATCGTAGGTGATGATGCAAGAAGGCAGTGTTAGGGAAAAAGAAGTAGTTTATGGGTTGGATAGGGCACTAACTAGATTGTTCCTCACTGGAATTCTTATGGCTCTGCTGCTTTTTGTGGACAAAAAGGAAGTATCACAAGGAAGTTACATGAACTCTGTCCCTTTGTTCCACCTGATCTATAGTTATTGGTTAATAATTTGCTCTCTCATCCATTATCTTTTAGTATATAATCTCAGAGCAAGGACATACTATATCTTTGTATTACAGCATACCCAAAAGAGTGTCTATTTTGCCTGATATTTCTGGGCATTTCAGTGGTTCAACTGACTCTGAAAAGAATGTGGAAATGCAACACAATTTTTGATGCAACTGCTTGCAGCAGGTTGGGGGGACTTACCCCTCACCAGCATTTTTGGAAAAACATAGCCAGACACTGCAGTCAGCTAGTGTGGGTTGCAGATGCTGAGGCCATCACTTTTAGGGGTAGTATTATTAGAAAAGCAGTTCTGATATATATATGGGGAAAAGGCTGCAAAATTCAAGCTCCCTCAAAATGTTGAAACACTCAGGACAGGAAAGAATGGAGCCTTGGATATGAATTTTGGCTGCATAAGCAGAAAAGGAAGGCTCTGAAGGAGAAAGCAGGAAGACTAAGAAATGTCTAGTATGTTAACCTATTGGAAGGCCAAGAAAAAAGCATCACCAGAAAGAGTAAGAGGATCAGTGTTTTACTCGAGAATGAAACTAGGAAGGAAAGATAGATAATGGGAAGTAAAAGAAGTGGTGAAAGGAAGATAAAGAGTTCAGTTTTGGTTTTGCTGAAGTCCAGCTGATAACCAAACATGCCCTCAATCATTAAAAACTGAGGCTCTCAAAGAAACCTCTGCTGATTAGAGACAGATTTATGAGTTGTTGACCAGTGTTAAAGTCTGTTTGTAAGAATAGCACCTAGAGGTGAGAGCACAGAGGAAGAAGAGGAATGGGCTGTGAAAAGGCCTCCTTCACATAAGGAGGGAGAATGTAACCTGTGACCAAGATACTGAAGCAACAGTGAATGCTAGAAGAAAAACCCCAAAAGGCTAGGCCAGGAAAACCGAAAAAGAGGTAGAGATTGTCACTGTAATTGGTGTAGATGAAGCGCATGAACAAGCTATGAGATTCATCAGGAATGAGTCAGTGCAACCATTAGTGTCAACCATATTATCAGAGTTTAGAGAGTTGAAGCTGGATCACAGAAAGCCAAGGACGCCAGCAGAAGGGACAAACTAAAGATATGACAGCCAAAGGGCAGATGAAAGCATCAAGCACAATAATTTTATGTAGAAAAGTTAAAGCACAGGAAAGAAAGAAAACTAATGGGATAAAGGAGAAGAGGAAGGGTGAGAGATTGGGCAATACAAAATAATAAGCAGGGCAGAGAGCACAGTACCTAAAACTGGTTTCACAAAGTCTTAGAGGTTGGCAAAACAAGTCTTTCCTTAGCATACAGTCTGTATGGCCCTTCATCTTTTCTTTTCAACAGGATGATCATACGTTATAAAAATGCTTATAAACTTAGCTCCAAGATATTTGAGAGGAAATTTTAGTCTATGATCATGACTTCCTTCCTGTTACGCCCTGTTGTCTGCTCCCACGTTACCACACTTAGTATTGTCATTTTTTGTATTATCAGCAACTTGAAGGATCAGCCCAACTGATTGTTATCAGCGGTCCTTGCAGTGAATGCTGACCTAGAGGATTGTACTAAAACAAAGAAAAATTCCCTGTTTTTCAGAACTGCTTGTATTACTGGGGATTTGCAGCTTGGCTTGCTTATTACATCAATCATCCTCTTTACACTCCTCCTTGTAAGTAGCAAAAGAGCCCTCAGTATGATTTAAGTATTTAGCTATTTGTATATTACTACTAACCACATGTAAATTTTTTTTTTTTTTTTTTTAATAGCTTATGGGAAAAAACAGATAAATTTTGCTGTGATCATGTTTCTGGTAGGTCTGTTGCTCTTTTTATAAAAAAGGAAGATTTTGATTCAGTATCCATTCCAAGACTGGGATATTTAACTGCTGGGATGATCCTGGAAGGATCTGGGATCTACCAGTGTGTGACACTGTTTAAAAGTCAGTGAGCTTGTTTTGGGACTTTTTTGTTAAGAATCACAACAGATCATAAAAACTGAAAGACCTGGCCAACTAAGAAAGTGTCTTGCTGATAATTTCCACAGATAGAGGTACATTTTACTGGGCTTCATAAATTTTTTTACAGCTTTCCTTATGAAGTAAATTTCTTAAATCACTCCCTGTTAATTCTCATAGTTCTTAATAACATTTCCTACATGCAGAAGCAATGTTAATGTAGCCAACAAAGATGTACCCATTTTTTCCTAAATATGCATATTTATAGTTTAGAACCTGAGCTGTTCCCATTTTATAGAGGGACAATGTAACTGAAAGCACAGAGCTGAGAATAAAACTCAGGATCTCTGTTCACCTGTCATTTGCTTTAATAGTTATGTTTTGCAGACACTGGAGGCTGTCCATAATATAAATGGGTCATTTCAATACACTTTCTACTTAATTGATTGGGGAAACATTATTTAAAACACATGGAGGAAGCTTGTCAATTATTTTTCATGGTTCATGTCAATTATACTCTAGAGAAGAAAACTTACTTAGAGCCAAACTCATATCTTCCTTCAGATTTTAATAACTTTTGAGAAACCAAAACTATCCAAATCCATTTTTTCAGTGTTTCTAAACACATAAGAGTAACCAAAAGATAAAACAAGTATCTCCTGGATTTATTTTTATCCCTGTTGGTTTATTGCCTTTAGATCTCATGTGAATTACATAAGAAAATTTCAATTTTTAGACACTGAGTCTATGTTTGCTGGTAAATATCATAAATATATAACAGATTATGATATGGACTCATGTCTGAATAAAGACATTCCATCATCCTCCTGTCTGAGAGCAATCTTGGTTAAGTATATTTATTGTGGTGCATTAACTCCCATTTTAAATCTTGTTTATAACAGATTTTTAATTTTTTTAAAATTTCCCCCCCCCCCTTAAAGTACCCCAGGAAATAATGCAAGAAAGAAAGTGAATAGAAAGGAAGCATGTTTTTAACTCTGTTGTGATTTTTCTTGCAGCTGTGTGAAGCTGGAAATTTTTCCATTCATGTTGCACTCAGTGACCTCCGGAGAAAAGGTAAAAACTGCATTATCATTTTTCACTTTTGTGGAGCCATTCAGTGCTTCTGCAGTAACTCTGCCTCATGTCGGACCTGATCCTGCAGGGCACTGGTACCCACCAGCTGACTGTTGTGGGTGCACAGGTTGCTCAGCACTGTAAAGACTGGATTCTAGGAGAGATCAGATAGTGCAAGAACTCCAACACCAGACTGTTCAACAGCACTTCTTCTTTTACTGTAATTCTTATTGGTTAGGGCCAGATTGCATTGGGGGAACAGTTATATTAGTTACACTGGTAGTGCAAAAGGAAACAGTACTAGTCTAAGCTGTGCTCTGGTGACTAAGGGAAACCCTGTGCAGGCCAGGTTTCCTTGGGTGTGAGCCAAACACCTTACAGCTACCAACTGTGACTGCTAAAATCCCATTCTGTGACAATCTGAGAAAAACTTCAACTTCTAAACCTAGAACTTGAGGTATCTCTTACAGGAGTCACTGTGGTCAAAGGCATACATAGATGACTTTCTAATGCCCAGAACATTTCCTCACAGTTATCTCATTCCTACTGTGGGTCCCAAGGACATCCTGTTTCCCTGCATCCTGCTTGTCCCTCTGACAATGATGAGACACAGGAGTAGGCAGATTTGGGTTGTCTTTATAGGAAACAATATATTTAGGAGTATGAATATTTTGTGATTTGTTTTCTAATCTATAGGATCCAAAACTCGTAAGATCCCATATCCAACAAAGAATCCTTTCACATGGCTGTTTTTCTTTGTATCTTGCCCTAACTATACATACGAGGTATGTATTCACAAACAAGATGCTGAGATTTTAGTTTTGTTGAATATATTTTTGTTTCTTTTGGAATATTAAACATGGAAAAAAACTCTGAAACAGTGCAGCTCAGTACATTTTTCCTCCTCCCCTAAACCCCATGAAATCAGATTGCAGACAGGAACTTGTCTGTTCTTCCTTTTCCTCCCTTGAAGCATTACTTATGGGGCTAACCTTAGACAGCTGAAACCCTAACCTGTGCTTCAGTGTGGCTGCTAGACAAGACATACTCTAAAGCAGTACAAATGCTTTGAAGGAAAATTGCCACTGAATGTGTGTTGCATCTGCTGGATTTAGAATATAAAAGAGCCCAGGAATATCACAGTATGCCGGAAGATAGTGGGTAGACTAATAGAAGATATTGTGGAAGAGAAAATGGGAAGAAAAGCTCAGGTTGTCTTCCCATTTTATTAAGTTATACAGTTGCTTGTGTTGTTGATGACTGCTTTAGAAGCTTGAATCAGTTTATCACTTCTTATTTCTTAATCAAAAGCAGTTCAAACCACTACAACTCAGTGTAAAAGTCACTCAAGGACAACATCAGATTTTAACTTAAGTGGAGGTTAATAGATGTTAATCAGAACACCATTTGGCCTCATACTACAGGAAGTTACCATTCCTGGCACTGATGGAGGTGAAAAATAATAAAATTAGGCAGAGAAATGAAAAGGACACTATGCTGTAGTGCTTAAAATTTTGTTGTGATAATAGCTATGGAAGCAAACACAAAGGCTTTGTTTGTGATAAGGCACTGTTCACCTTTTTGGCTAAAGGTTATTAACAGTAGAGATTGATCTGGCTGACCTTGGCTTTTTTATTTACCTATACTAGGACAAGGTTGGTTTTGATCAATAGAGACATAAATGCAAATGCTGTCACCAGAAATATTTTAAATTTCCTTGGCCAAAACAGGTGGGGACCTGGATCAGTTTCACTATCATGACTCAGTGTGTTCCAGGTGAGTAATGTTTTGGTACTTTACCCTAAAGTGATGCCAGCAACGAGAGTGTGTTTTTAATCTGATAATGAAACATACTTTCCCTTCCTTCCAGTGGGGCTGTTCACCTTGCTTTGCTTCATTCAGATGACAATCTGGGCAAAGGATAAACACTGCACCTATCTGCGAGAATTCAAGGATTATCCAAGTCTTCGAATGCCAATTATTCCTTTTTTGTTGTAAGAAGAAAAGTTTAGTTTGAATAGAGCACAGAACTTCAAGAAGAAAAAAACTCATAAACCTCCTGCCAAATAGAGAATTAATTTAAAGGATTCTGGTGCACATTGAATCTCCACTGCTGAGGGAAATTGTATGTACTTGAAAGCTACACTTCCTTACTTTCAAGAATTCTCAACTCAGAAGCACCTTCAAAAAATAAGGCTTCATTACACAGCTGATAGTCAAAAGCCTCTACAGTCCACTGTAACCTGTTTGACTTAGATTTTCCTGTACTATTCTATTTATCTTGATGGATCAGAGATACTGAGAAGTCTGTGCTGAAAAGCAGTTCCAAATTTAGCAGTGGCATTCTGCAAGATGTAAGTACATTGGAACGAGGACATACCAGCTAACTACTAGAGAGCTCAGCTCAGCCAGCACGGCCAGCTGGCCTGAAGACAGTTGCATGATCTGCCTTCTTTGACTTGAAGAAAGTGTGCTGCCTGGTGGCAGGTGCTTTGTAGCAAATAATATTACCAAAGAATATGAATTATTCCTGGAATAAAAAAAATAGGCAATATCTCAAATCCCTGATTTGGGTCTAATCCCTAATTTGCAAATAGAATCTGAAGGAAGAAGAAATTGTGTATTTGTGGATGTAACATCCTTCATCGTTGTTGGTGTTTTTGTCTGGTTGGTTTTAATCTTCAGTAGCAAACTGCATACTAGTAAACAAGGTTCAGAAGATCTGATCTATGCTGTATCTTTGACATTGGCCTGTTTTCATATAACAAATCCATATGATACTAAAGGACCTTTTACCTAGCATTTTATGTCAGCGTTCTCTAAATAATTTTTAATATGCTTTATAAATATATGAAGTGACTGCTAGTCTTCAGAATACTAGCTCCCTTCCTATTTTCAGAGCCAGGGAGAAAAAATCAGCTACATTTTGGACTTCCTGTGTTTTCTTTTCACAAGATGTTCAGTAGGACTTAGTTGGGTTTTGTGCAAATATAGTAAAAAAAAAACTAGTAAAAATCTATTGCAACCTATCTGAATTTGAAAGAAGCTGGTTTAGAATATGAAGAGAATGCATAGATACCTCTTTGTTTCATGATAATTTATTTATCTATAATGGATGTATAGAAAGATTTTTGCAACTATTTGTAAGGGTGAAATATGCAATAAATTCCGGACTATTTCAAAATCAATTGAAATAATTATGGCAAAAGAAGACTACAGCCGCCTGCTGAAGTTTCATATTTTGTACAGTAAAAAGCAAGAATGTCCTTATATATATTAAAAAAATCTACAATTGAAAAAAAACTAACAAAGCAAGAATGCTTGACCCAGATTTTATTTCTGTACAAAATATCTTGGAGAATATTTCTTAAAAATGTTTCGGTCTGGTAGATAACTGAAGCAATACATCATTGTGAATTTGTTTTCAGTACTGTTATTTTCCACTAGTTTAACTGTGAACTGGAGAGACCAAAGAACCTGTGAACCAGAGAAAAGAGCTAAATGTCAAATGATTACCCACTGAGTGCAGCGGGGAGTACAAGCAGGTGAAATTTTCCTTCTGAGCAGAGAGAAAGCACATAACCTATTCACACTATACAACCACTTCAGATTCAGTCCAAAGAAAGAAGAAAAGTATTGGTCTTGTTTCATAACAAAAAATATCTTTCCAGGCCTTCAAGAGAAAAAAAAAAAACTTTTGGCAGATTTGGACGTACTCTTTCCTTTTAATCTCCATTTTGACATTGTGCTTCTGTTTGAGAAATTTGAAGATGAGTATGAGATCATTTTCATTAAGGTTTGGGTTTTTTTAAGTAAATTTCTTGCCTGGGTCTGAATTAATTCTTCCCATTCTTGCTGAGACAACCGTCTGGTTTTACTGGCAGCCTGGTGAGACGGTGCAGCATTCTGCCGGCACTAGCCTCAGCAGCCAGCACTGATGTTCTGACCTTGATAGTCCTGTACACTCAGGGTGGCAGGAATCCACTTGTAAGCTGGGCAATGCTCTCTGCCTTGGGACCTGTCTGCTGATTGGTAGCAGCTGACTTAAGAGTTAAACATGGAAAACCTAGCAGCCTGAAAGGACCAGACAGAGAAACTGTCTCTAACGCTCTTTACATGTCAACAACAAGGAGGAATAAGACTTGGCTTCCTGTGTCTTATAATGAACTTTATCTTAGAGGAAGATTTTGTTCTGTAGCAAGGACTTGCCTTTCCTTGGACGCTTTCAGCGTGTAGTGTTCCTGTAGAGCAGTAGAAGTTGGCTGTTGCTAGGCCTGTTGCTGTTGTGAGTACAGTGCTCAGAAAGGTGCAAAATATCAGTAAAATACCAAGTTTATGAACTTTGTTTTACCCTTGTACTGCTCTGGTATGGCACATCTTTGCACTGTGCACTCTAAGCGCTAGTGACTGTAGGAACAGTCTATGCAGCTGCCTGCTGCTGCAAAGCAGGGGACACCTTTGCTTCTCGGCTGGCTCCAGCTGCACGGGGATGCAAAGGAATTTCCTCATCCTCCATTTGCTGTTTAGCAAAGTTCACAAAAACCTGTGTGAGGAAAGCAGAAAATGTCACATTCTCATCAACTAAGATGAGTTAGTGGTATGTCTTCATATATTTGCATCCTCTTGGCCTCTGCAGGAAGGAGACAAAGGGGAATCCATAGACATGAACAGAACTGAGACACAGTATCACCAGGAATTATTAATTCCTTCTTTCTTTCAGTAAACTTTCTTGCAACTTCCTCCTTTGGATGCACTTACTTGCAAGTAAAATCCTTTTTCTTTTTATAATTAATCAGGAGATGGGTTCAGCAAGGTTGGCTTAGCTTGTAAAATGTGATTTTGGTTTCAATGGGAAAGAGGAGATGGAATATTTTAGAGAAAGCTGTAAGGCAGCCAGGAACGCTTTTCTAGCATTCCCAGCAAAGACAGCTTTGCATATGTGGACCCTCAGCTACTTAGCAAAGCAGGCAGATAGGGTTAATACCCCCTAGCAAGTGGGTGTTGCCACCAGTCCCAGTGGAATTCCCAAGTTTTGTGTGTCTAATTGCTCCTGTATACAAGTGCATGACCCAGACATAAACATTTAACTAGATATCACAGTATATCTGACACAACACAGTGCAAATCTCTTATTTAAAATAAAACATTATTCCCAGCTCAGGAAGCCTCATTCTGAATGGCTGACCTTCCTCAGACTGCTGGTCCTGAAGGAATGGGTTGTGTGAATTTTGTTATCTGGGAAACGGTTGTCTTACTAACTTCCAAATGGCACCTATTTACATAGGGAATTAGTTACAGATTTCATATCTGATCCACTCTCCTTGATGAAGGGGTCTGGGAACACTGCCCGAGAAAGAGGTGCAAGATAATTCTCTGAACAGTTTGATCCTTCAGTTGTTTGGTTACCTAATTGCATTGCCTAATTTTTGCCAGACAGGCTTTCCCATGGATGCTTTCTTTTTGACTCACCTGATCTAAAGTTGTTTGAGACACAGAATATTCTTCAATATGTAGCTTTTCCTTATTGGAGATTATTAACCGAAAAATCTTAGCCAGAGATGAGGAGCAAATCTGATACTGCAGCATGTTGTAGTGTTTCTCTCTCTGTAAACTGCCTGGGAAGTTCATGCGTATGAATTGCTCAGCAGGAGTAGGATCTGGAGGCAGCCCAGACTTTGGAGCTTTGATCTTCAGAGTGACAATGTAGCCATCTCCAAACCTGGAAAGCAGATGTGGATTTCAGAACTGGATGAAGAGATGGGTTCCTTATTCAGGGAGGAAATTTTCTGCAGCTATGAAAACACTAACAGTGTCTGAATCGTAATGTGGAAGATCTAGCTTCCCAAGAAGCCTTGTATTTGCCCTGCAGAAATGGTGTGTAGCATGGCAGAGCTGAAATGAGATCTGCTTAAATTGCCTAGGATACCACAGAGTTGCACTCAGAAATGAGTCTGTTTAAATAACAGTTCTTCAGATGGGATTGCTGTATTAAGAACAATACATGTCACATATACCAAGTTCTTCCACAAAAAAAAACCCAAAAAACCAACAAAACACACACAAAAAAAAAACCAAAAAAAAACCAAAAAACAACACAACAACCAAACCAAAAACCCAACCATAAAAACATTCTACTTACTTGTATTTTAGCTGCTGAATTGTGCCCAGGCATTTGAAGGTACCTTTTACCATGATGGCTAAACGAGTACAGAGGGCTTCACATTCTTCCATACTTTCAAAGAAGAGAACAGATATTTGAGAAAAGCCAGCAGATTAACTTTATCTCCTCTGGGATTCTGAATTTTAATTCTTTTTACCTGTGTGAGGTTAGAACCACAGCTCGCCCATCTCTGAGCACGCTGACAATAGAGTCCCACAAGAGGCGCCGGGACTGAGGGTCCATTCCAGTAGTTGGTTCATCCTGTAAGGGAAACATGAAGATGATCAGAGTCAGAGCACAAAGCAGTAAGGAAACAAGGACAAGAAACTGCAGGTAAGGGCAGAATGCTGTCTGTGTAGGGCAGGTAAAGATAGAATGCTGTCTGTGTAGGGCAGAGCTACAGGGAAGGGAATGTAGTGGCCATTTTGACAAAGGAAGCCCCTAGTCTAGGGTCTTAGATATCAAAAATGTAAGCATTTGTGATAGCCCGTTATAAAAACATTCAGGACCAAACACAGAAATAAATTGAAAGAGGCTCATGCAGTACCAGTTACACCAAATTGTGTCAAGTTTGGCTCCCATGTTTTGATGGACATTACAGATATTGGTCAATATACTGGAGAAACAAAGAACAGAACATGAATAATACTAGCTTTAAGACAGAGATGGATACTCGCAATAAAATCTCCTTTTTCTGGGGCAACAACTCTTGTAAGAGGAAAGTGAGTTTTTCCCAAATAACCTGTTTACTTACATAAATATATAGGGCACATTTTTCAACCCAAGAACCTAATTAAGTCACTCTGATTTACACCAGGTAAGGATCTGGTTCTGCATAAACCAGTTAACCCAGTGAGTAAAAACAAAAAAACTAAAAGTATTGGAAAAAAATATTTTCATTCAGCATTTTGTCTTAAAAATTATGAGAAAACATTTTATCTGGCTGTTTAATACATACAGGCAGAATACATGTAAGGGCATATTAAATGGCACAAGGAACCGTACTATTAAAAATGTGACTAAAATGTTTCTTTTTAGTGCACAAATTCAGGTGGTAAGTATAATCTAA